AAAGAGAGAGGAAGAGAGAAGGAGGGAGGGAAAGAGAGGGAGGGAGGGAAAGAGAGGGAGAGAGGGGATAGAGAGGGAGGGAGGGAGAGGGAGCGAGGGAGAGAGAGAGTGGGAGAGAGAGAACGAGAAATAAAAGGAGAGCGAAGGAGAGAAAGGAAAAGAAAAAGGGAAAGAGAGAGAGGGGGAGAGAGAGAGATGAGAGGGAGAAGGAGAGAGGGAGGGAGATAAGAAGGGGGAGAGAGGGATAAGAAGAGGGAGCAAGGTAAGGGAGAGAGAGGGAGAGAAAGTGAAGGAGAAGGAAAGAGAGGGATAAAGAGAGTGAGCGAGGTAAGAGGAGAGAGAAGGAGAGAGAGAGAAAGAGAGGTAAAGGGAGTAGAATAAAAAGGGAGAGAGGGGAGAGGGAGAGAGATGGAGGGAGAGAAAAAGGAAGAGAGTGGGAAAGGGAGGGAGAAAAAGATAAAGAGAAAGAGAAAGAGATAAAGATAATAGGAGAGAGAAGGAGAAGGAAGGTGAGGTATGGAAGAGAGAGAAAGAGGGAGAGAGATAGAGAGGGAGAGGGTAGAAAAAGAGATAGAGAGAGGGAAAGAGAGATAGGGAGAGAGTAAGGGGTGAGAGGGATAAAAAAAGAGAAAGGGAGAAAATGGGAAAGAGCGGCAAAGGGAAAGAGAGAGAAAGAGAGAGTGAGAGATAGGAAAGCTAAAACGAGGAAGAGAGAAAGTGACAAAGAGAAAAAGAGAGGGAGAGAGAGGGAGAGAAAAAAGGAAGAGGAAGAGGGAAAGAGGGGGAGAGAGTGAAAAGGTGAGAGAGTGAAGGGGTGAGAGAGTGAGGAAGAGATTAGAGGGGGTGGGAGAGGGAGAGAGATAAAGCACGAAAAAGGTTGAAAAAGAAAGGGAGAGAGTGAGAATGAGAGTGAGAGAGAGATGTATAGATGCAGAGAAAATAAAGGAGAGAGGGAGGAAGAGAAATATGGAGAGAAAGAGAGAGATGGAAATTAGGAAATGAAGAGAAAGGAAGAGAGGGGGAGAGAGATAGAGTTAGAGAGAGGGGGAGAGAGATAGAGTTAGAGAGAGGGGGAGGGAGAGGGAGAGATAAAAAGAAAGGGAGAGGGGGAGATAGAGATATATAAATATATAGAAAGAGAGAGAAAAAGAGTCAAATAGGCAAAAAGAAAGAGAAAGGGAGAATAGGAGAGCGAAAAGGATAAAGAGAGTGAGAGAGAAGGGAGAGAGAGAGTGAGGAAGGGAGAGAGAGAGTGAGAGGAAGAGAGGGAGAGTGGGAGAGGAAGGAGAGTGATTGGGATAGATGGACAGAAAGAAGGAGAGAGGGAAAGTAGGAGGGAGAGAGGAGGGAGAGAGAAAGGGAGAGAGAGGAGGGAAGAAAGTGTGGGAGAGGGATTAGGAGAGAGAGATAAAGAGAGGAAAGGGAGAGAGAGAGAGAAAGGGAAAGAGAGGGAGAGAAGGAAAGAGAGAGAGGGAGAGATAAGGGAGAGAGAGACTGGGAGACTTAGAGGGAGAGAGAGTATGAGAGAGATGTGAGAAAGATGGAGAGAGGGAAGAGATAGGGACATAAAGAGAATGAGAGAGGGAGAGAGGGGGAAAGAGAGAGAAAGGAAGAGAGAGGGATAGAGAAGAGAGAGAGAAGGAGTGGAAGAGAAGGAGAGATAGGTAGAGATAGAGAGGGAGAGATAGGGAGGGATAAAGATAGAGAGAGGGAGAGAGAGTATGGGAGAGGGAGAGGAAGAAAGAGAAAGATGAGAGGGTGAGAACATATGAGAGAGAGGGAAAGAGTGGGAGACAGAAAAGGAGAGAAATAGCAAGAGAGAATGAAGGGAGAGAAAGAAATAGAGAGAGGGAGAGAGAAAGAAAGAGAAAAAAGGAAGAGATAAGGAAAAAGAAAGAGAGGGAGAGAGGGAGAGGAGAGAGGGAGAGGAGAGAGAGAAGGAGAGGACATGAGAGAGGTATAGGGAGATTGAGAGAGTGAGAGAGAGGAAGATAGACAATGAGAGAAAGAGATAAAGGGACAAAGAGATAGGAAGAGAGAGGGAGAGGGAGAGAGAGGGTGGGATCGAGTGGGAGAGAGTAAGAAAGGGAAAGAGAGATGGGTAGAAGGAGTGAGAGAGAGTAAGAGAGAGGGGAATCAAGATATAGGGGAAATAGAATGAGAGTAAGAGAGGGAGAAAGAGAGGAAGAGAGGGAGCAGGAGCAAGAATGAGGGATAGAAAGTGAGAGAAAGAGAAAGAGGGGACAGAAAGAGATGGAGAGAGAGAGGGAGAGGGAGAGGGGTAAAGAGTGACGGGGAAGGGAGAGACATGAAAATAGGAATTGAGAGAGATAGAAAGGGAGAAAAGGAGAGATAGATAGAGAGGGAGAGAGATGGAGAGAAAATGAGAGAAAGAAAATGAGGGAGAGGAAGATAAATGGAATGACTGAATGAGTGAGAGAGATAGAGAGTAAGGGAGATAGTGGGAGAGATAAGTGGAGAGGCAGAGAGGGATAGAGAAAGAGAGAAGGAGAAGAAGAGTGGGGATAGAGAAAGGGAGGGAGTGAGATGGAGTGAGGTGAAGATAAAGAGGGAGAGAGGGAGAGGGGGAGAGGGAGAGAGAAGGGAAAGAGATTATGGGAGTGGAGAGGTAGAGAGAGGGATAGAGAAAGAGAGAAGGAGAGGGATAGTGGGGATAGAGAGAGAGAGAGATAGTGAGATGGAATGAGTTGAAGACCAAGAGGGAGAGAGGGAGAGAGAATGAGAGAGAAGGGAAAGAGATTATGAGAGTAGGGGAGAGAGAAAGAGAATGGGATGGAGAGAGAGGGGGAGAGAGAGAGAGAATATAGAGAGAGGAAAATAAAGAAAGGGTGTAGGAGAGAGAGAAAGGAGAAGAGAGCTAGAGGGAGAGAGGGAAAGAGGGAAAGTAAGGGATATATAGAGAGAAAGGGGGGAGAAAGGGAGAGGTAGATAGAGAAAAAGAGAGAGGAAGAGTAAGGGAGAGAGAAAGAGATAGAAATAGAGGGAGAAAGGACGAAAGGGTGAGCGAGAGAGGAAGAGAGAGTGGGAGAAGGGAGAGAGATAAAAGAGAAAGGGTGGGAGAGGGAGAGAGGGAGAGGGAGAGAGTAAGAGAGAGGCATAGGAGAGAGAGGGAGAAAGAGAAGGAGGAGGAGAAAGAGAAGAGGAGAGATAGAGATAGAGAGAAGGAGAGAATAAGGGTGAGAGAAAAAGATAGGGGAGAGAAAGAGAGGGAGATAGATGGAGAAAGCATAAGAGAGAGGGAAAGGGAGGGAGAAATAAAGGGAGAAAGATAAAAAGACCAAGATAGTGAGAGAGGAATAGAGAAAGAGAGGGAGAGAGGGAGATCATGGGAGAGGAAGGGAGAGAGGGAGAGAGTAGGGGTGAGAGAGGAGAGAAGGAAAGAGAGAGGGAGAGGGGTAAAAGAAAAGGGAGGGAGAAGGAGGTAGATAGAGAAGGAGGGAAAGAGAGATAGAATGACGGAGAGAGAAGAGAGAGAAGGAGAGAGGGAGGAAGAGAGAGGGAGAGAGAGTGGCGAGAGAGGGAGGGAGAATAAGGGAGAGAGGAAGGAGAGAGAGGGAAATAAGGTGAGACGGAAGGGGAGATTACTAGAGCGAGAGAGAGGATGAGAGGGATGAAAAAAGAGACGGAAAAGGATATTGAAATTAGGAAAGAGAGAAAGAGGAGAGATGGAGTGAGAAAAAGATTAAGACAGAGGGAGAGAGAAAAAAGGAAGAAAAAGGGAGAGAAAGAGTGGGGAAAAGAGAGGGTGAGAGAGAAAAAGAGGGAGACCAAGGAATGAAAGGGGAGTGAGAGAGAGGAAGAGATGGAGAGGAATAAAGATGGAGAGAAACGAAGGGAAGAGAGAGAGTGACAAAGAAAGGGAGGGAAAACGAGGGATGGGGAGAGAGAGGATGAGAGGGAGAGTAAGAAAGAAAGAGAGAGTGAGAGAATAAGAAGGAGGGAGTGAGAGATGGAAGAGAGTTAGAGAGGAAGGGGTAAGAAGGATAGAGTAAGAAAAAGAAAGAGAGCAAGAAGAGAGGGAGATGGGGGAGAGAGGGAAGAGAGGAAAGAGAATGGGAAAGAGAAAGAGAGATAAAAGGAGAGAGAAAGGGGAGAGAGGGAGAGGGAAAGAATGGGAGAGAGAGGGAGAGAGGGAAAGGGAGAGAGGTCAAGAGAGATGGAAATAAGGAGGGAAAGAAAGAGAGTGTGAGAGAGAGAGATAGAGTGGGAGAGAGGAAGAGAGAGTGAGAGAGGTAGAGAGCGACGGAGACGAATGGAGAGAGCGACGAGAGAGGAATAGAGAGGGAGATAGGGAGATCAAGAGAATGAGAGAGAGAGATGGGGAAAGGGAGAGAAAGGAAGAGAGCGTGATAGAGAAGAGAGATAGAGAATGAGTGGGAAAAAGGGAGACATAGGTAGAGATAGAGAAGGAGAGAGGGAGAGATATGGAGGGATAGAGAGGGATAGAGGGAGAGAGAGTGTGGGAGCGAGAGAGGAGGAGAGAAAAAGATGAAAATGAGAGATGGATAGAGAAAGAACGAGAGATAGAGAGGGAGAGACTAAGAGTAAAAAAGGGAGGGAGGGAGAGGGAGAGAGAGAGGGAGAGGGAAGAGAGAGAGAGAGGGAGAATGAGGGAGAGGAAGAGGGAGAGAGGAGAGAGATAAAGAAAGAGAGAGAGAGGGAGAGATAGGAAGGAAGAGCAATAAGGAGTGGGAGGGAGAGGGAGAGGGTGAGAAAATAAAGAGAGAGTGAGAGAGAGAAAAGGAGAAAGGGAGGGAGAGAGATGGAGAGAAAGGAAGAGATAGAAGGAGAGAGGTAGAGGGGAGAGAGAAATAGATATGGAGAGGGAGAGAGGGAGGATAGGGAGGGAGAGAGAGGGAGAGAAAGTGAGGGAGAGGGAAAGAAAGGGACAAGGAAAGGAAGGGAGATAGAGAAAGAGAGAAAGAAAGAGAGAAAGAGAGCTAGAGGGAGGGGTATAGAGGAGAGAGAGAGGGAGAGAGATGGAGAGAGAAAAGGGAAGAGAGAGGGAGAGGGAGAGAGATAAATATGGAGAGAAAAAGAAGGAGATAAAGATAGTAAGAGATAGAGAGAATGAGAGGGAAGGTGAGGGAGGAAAAAGGAGAAAGAGAGATAGAGAGTGGGTAGAAAAGGAGATAGAGAGAGTGAGAAAGAGAGGGAGAGAGTAAGAAAGAGAAAGAGAGGAGAGAAGGGAGAGATAGAGCGAGAAAGGGAGAGAGTAAAGGGGTGAGAGGGATAAAGAAAGAGGGAGAGAAGAGGAGAGAGAGAGGGATGGAGAGAGAGAAGAGGAAGAAAGAGGGAGAAAGAGGAAAAGATAGAGAGAAAGAGAGAGGAAGAGAGAAAGTGACAAAGAGAAAAAGTGGGAGAGAGAGGGAGGAGAAGGAGAGGGAGAGATAGGGAGAGAGTGAGGAGTGGGAAAGGGAGAGAGAGGGAGAGATAGTGAGGAAGAGATTGGAAGGGGGATGGAGAGGGAAAAGAGAGTGTGGGAAAGAGGGTGAGAGAGAAGTAGAGAGAGCGAGAATGAGAGTGAGAGAGAGTGACATAGAGATATAGAGAAAATAAGAGAGAGATGAGGAAGAGAAAAGTGAGTGAGGGAGAGAGAGAGATGGAAATTAGGAAGGGTAGAGGGAGAGGGGAGATAGATAGAGTTAGAGAAAAGGAGGGAGGGATGGAGGGTGTGAGGTAGAGGAAGGGAGGAAAAGTAAGAGAGAGATGAAGAGAAGGGAGATAGAGATATATAAATATATAAGAAGAGACAAGTGAAAGAGGGAGAGAGAAAGAGAGGGAAGAGGAGAGAGAGAGGTAGAGAGAGTGAGAGGGAGAGATTAGGCGATGACGAAGAGGGAGAAGGAGGGAGAGAGAAGGATAAAGATATAGAGTAGAGGGAGTGAGAGATAGGAAGAGAGGGGGAGAAACGATGAGAGAGAATAAGGACAGAGTAAGAGAGAGACAAAGAGAGAGAGGGATGGAGAGAAGAGAATGAGAGAGGGGGAGTGAGAATGGGAGAGAGAGGGAGAGGGAAAGGGAGAGAGGGAAAGATAGAGAGGGAAAGAGAGGGGAGAGAGAAATAAAAGAGGAAAAGAGAGGGAGAGTTTGAGAGAGAGGGAGAGTTAGAGAGAGGGAGAGATTAGGAGGGAGAAAATAAGAGATAAAGGGATAGAGAGAGAGAGGTAGGGGGAGGGAGGGAGAGGAAGCGGGAGAGATAGGAAGAGGGAGGGAGGGAGGGGAGGAGAGATAGAGAGGGAAAAGGTGGGATAGAGAGAGAGGGAGGGAGCAAGAGTGAGTGAGAGAGAGGGAGAGGGAGAGAGAAGGATAGGGAGAGCGAGAGAAGGAGAAATAAAGTGAGGGAGAGAGAGAGAGGCAAAATGAGAGAGGGAGAAGGAAGAAAAAGAAAAGATAGAATGGGAGAGAGAGGAAGAAAGGGAAAAAAAGAGAGAAAGAGACAAACATAAACAAAAAGGGGAGAGAGTGAGAGATTGGGAGAGTGGGAGTGAGGGAGAGAAAGGGAGAGATAGAGAAAGGGTGAGAAGGAGAGAGAAGGAGATGGAGAGAAATAAAGAGAGAGTGAGAGAGAGATAGAGACGAGAGAGGGGGAGAGAGTGTGAAGGGAGAGAAAGGGGGAAAGAGGTACGAGTGAAAGAGAGAGATGGAGAGAGGGAAAGATTGGAAGAGAGGGAAAAAGAGTGAAAGGGTGGGAGAGGGAGGGAGAGAGGAAGAGAGAAAGAGATGGAAAGAAAGAGAGAGAGTTAGAGGGGGAGAGAGGGAGAGAAAGAGAGAGGGAGAGGGTAAGAGAGAAGGGAGAGAGGGAGAGTGATAGTGGGAGAAAGGGAGAGAGATATATATACAAGAAGAGAGAAAGAGACAAAGTGAGTGGGAGAGAGAGAAACATATAGAGAGAGATGAGAGAGAGGTAGAGAGAGGGATAGGGATCAAAAGAGAGGGAGAGAGGGAAAGGGAGAGGGAGAGGGAGATGGAGGGTGAGAGAGGAAGAGAGAAAGGGAGAGAGGGATAGATTAGGAGAGAGAGACGAGAGAGGGATAGTGAGGGAGGGAGGGGGAGAGATGGATGGAGAGAGAGGGAAAAGGAGAGAATGAGTAAGGGGTGAGAGAGAGGAATATGGATAGAGAGCAAGAATAAGAGAGGAAGAGGGAGAGAGAGAGAGAGAGGAAATTGAGAGAAAGAGAGAGGGGAGTCAATAAGAGAAAGGGGGAAGAGAGGGAGAGGGATAAAGATTGGTAGCGAGAGAGGAAGAGAGGTTGAGAAAGAGAGAGGAAAGAGGAGAGGAAAAGGGAGAGGAAGCCAAAGAGATTGAAGAAGAGAGGGAGATAGGGATAAAGAGTGGGAGAGAGGGAGAGTGAGAGTGATAGCGAGTGAGAAAAAAGGAGAGAGATAGATAGAAAGAGGAAGAGAAGGAGAGAAAGAAAAAATAAAAGGGAGAAACGTAGAGAGGTGAAGAAGAGGATGGAGTGAGAGAGAGAAAAAGGGTGAGAGAGAGATGGGAAGAGAGGAAGAGAGGGGGACGAGGGAAAGGAGAGAAAGGGAGGGATAGAGAGAGGAAGAAGAACAAGAGAGAGATAGAGAGGGAGAGAGGAAAGGAGAGAGAAAGAGAGAGAAGGAGAAAAAGGGAGAGGGAGGGAGAGACAGAGAGGGTGATAGAGGGAGAGAGTGGGAGAGGGAGAGAAAGGGAGGGAGAGATAGAGGAGATAGATGGAAAGACCACGAGAGGGAGAGAGGAACAAAGAAAGAGAGAGAAAGATAGAGAAGAGAGAGGGATAAAAAGGGAGAGAGAGAGAGAGAGATGGGTTTTGAGAGGAAGAGAAAGATAGAGGGAGAGAAAGAGAGGGAGAGAGAGAGATGGGGTTTGAGAGGAAGAGAAAGATAGAGGGAGAGGAGGAAAGGGAGAGAGAGGGAGAATGAGAGAGATAAAGAAGGAGGGAAAGAGAGGGAGAGAGGAAGAGGGAGAAAGAGGGAGAAGGAGAGAGATAAAGAGGGAGGGAGAGGGAGGGAAAGGAGGAGAGGGAGAGTGAGGGAGGGATTGAAATGGAGAGAGAGAGATAGGGATAGAGATAGAGAGATGAGAGAGGGAGAGAGAGAAGAAGAGAGGTAGATTAGGGAGAGGGGTAAGAGGTAAAGAGAGATAGATAGAGAGAAGGGAAAGAGAGGGAGAGGGAGGAAGAGAGTGGGAGAGAAGGAGAAGGAGAGTAAGGGAGGGATAGAAATAGAGAGAGATATAGAGATAGAGAAAGGAGAGAGGGAGAGAAAGAAGAGGAGAGGTAGAGTTAGGGAGAGGGGGAAGAGATAAAGAGAGGGAGATAGAAAGGGAAAGAAAGAGGTAGAGGGAGAGGGAGAAAGTAAAAGAAATAAGGAGAAGAAAGAAAGTGAGGGAGAGGGGTAGAGAGAGAAAATAGAGAGATGGAGAGATAAAGATAGGGGAGAAAGATAAAGGGAGGGAGAGAAATAAAAATGGAAAGGCTAGAAGAAGGAGAGAGGAGCGAGAAAAATAAAGGTAGAGGAAAAATAAGGAGGAGAGAGAGAGAGAAAGAGTGGGAGAGGAAGAGAGGAAGGGAGAGATAAAGAGAGATAAAGGAGGAGCAAGGGAGAGAGTTAGGGAGAGAAAAGGAGAGAGGGGGAAAAGAAAGAGAAAGGAAGAGAGATAGTAAGAGAAAGAGGGGAGAGAGTGGAAGAGAGAGGGAGATTGAGATAATGGGAGAGAAAAAGGGAGAAGAGGATAGATTGAGAGAAGGAGAGAGGGAAAGCAAGAGAGGGGAAAGAGGGAGAGAGAGGGAGAGGGAGAGAAAAAGAGGGAGAGAGAGTAAGAAGGAGTGAAATAGAGATGGCGAGAGAGAGATGGAAATAAAGAACGAGAGAAAAAGGAAGAGATAGAGTGAGAGAGAGGAAGGTTAAGAGAGAAAGAAGGAGAGAGGGAGAGCGAGAAAGAGGGATATATATATATATATGTCTCTCTCTCGATCCATCTCTATCCCTCTATGTCTCTCTCCCTTTCTCTTTCCCGCTCTCCTTCTCTCCTTCCGCCTCTCCCTCTCATACTCTCTCTCTCCCTTCTCTCTCACCCTATCCCTCTCACCCTATCCCTCTCTCTCCCTCTTTCTTTTTTCTCTTCCTTTAGTTCTCCTTCTCCCTCTCTCACTCCTCCTTCCTTTCTCTCCCTCTCGCCCCCTCTCTCTTATTATCTATATATCACCCTCTCTTACGCTCTCTCTCCCTCCCTCCCTCTCTCCTCTTTTCCCTCTCTCCCTCTCCCTCTCTCCCCCTGTCTTACACTTTTGCTCTTTCTCTCTCTTGCTCTTACTTCCCTCTCTCTTTCTCTCTCACACACTCTTTTCCCTCCTCTCTCTCCTTCCTTCCCTTTCTCCCTCTCCTTCTCTCTCCCTCTCTTTTTCTCTCTCTCTCTCCTACTCTTTATTTATCTCCCTCTTCCTCTCTCTCTCTTCATCTCCCCCTCTCTTTCTCTCTCTCGCTCTCTTCCTCTCTCTCGTCCATCCCCCTAGTCTCTCTCGCTCTCACTCTATCTCACTCTCTCTCCCTCTCCCTCTCCATCTCTCTCTTCCTCTTCCTCTCTCCTCTCTCCCTCTCTCCTCTCTCTCTCTCTTCCCTCTCTTACTTTTTCTCTATCCCACTTTTCCTCCTCCCTCTCTGCCTCTCTCTCCCTCTCTATATCTCTCATACTTTATTTTCCTCCCTCTCTCTCCCTCCTTCCCTCTATACCTCATTCTCTCTCCCTCTTTCTCCATCTACTATGTTCTCCACTCGCTCTCTCTCTTTTCCCTCTCTCTCTCTCCCTCTCTATGTCTCTCCCACTCCCTTACCCTCTCTCTCATCCTCCCACTCCTTCTCTTTTAATCTCTCTCCTCATCTCCCTCTCTCTTCATCTTCCTCTCTCTTTCTCCCTCTCTCCCTCTCTCCCTCTCTCTCTCCATATCTATGCTTTCCCCTTCTCACTTTCCCTCTTCTTCTCTCTCTCCGTCTCTCTTTCTCCATCCCTTTCTATCACCCTCTCCCCTCCCCCTCTATCCCCCTCTTTCCCTCTCTATTTCTCTTACTCAATCTCTCTCTCCCTCTCACTCTCTCTACCTTTCTCTATCTACCCCTCCCTCTAGCTCTCTCTCCCTCTCACTCTACCCCTTTTTCCCCTTCCCACTTTCTCTCTCTCCTTTTTTCTCCCTCTCTCCCTTACCTCTCTCTTCCCCTCTCCCTCTCTTCCACTATCTGTCTCTCCCTCTCCCTCTCCTACTCTCTCCTTCTCCCTCTCCATCTCTACCACTCTATCTCTCTCCCTCTCCCTCTCTACCACTTTATCTCTCTTCCTCAATCTTATGTCAAATTCTTCTTATCACTTTTAATAAATTCAAATGTAATTTTTTATATTTTTATATATCCATCTATCTCTTAAAAAATGGATCTATGAAATACGATAATTTTTTTAGTATTATAAAATTTCAACCAACATTAATTAAGTTTCCAATCTTGACTATTCATTCCACTCATAAATTAGTCAACTAGAGAGAAATTTTATAATACACAAGGAGTAACTAGTGGCATATACAATAGTTACTTTATGGGCTCACTTTGAGAAAAGAGATAGACACAAACAAGGAGAGAGAGAAATTAAAGAAATTTGAATGGACGTGAAAATCTTTTTATCACTTTTAGTAGGTATAGATGTAATTTCTCTTTTTTTTTTTTATCTCTCTCCTTAAAGTAAGCTCATGAAATAACTACTTGTACATATCATTAGTTACTCCTTGTGTATTATAAAATTTCTCATCAACTAGGTACCTATAAAAAGAGACGGAAAAGTAAGCCCTACATAAGGTACAAAATTAATCAAGTTTCCATCCGTGGGCTCTACCTAAAAAAGATTCTCATGCTTTTAACTACCGTTTATTCGTGCACACTATACACGAGCTGATTGGGCTCAAGAAAATATGTTCATGAGCTGATTGGATGAGCTGTTTGGGTTTATGAAAATGCGTGCACGAGCTGATTAGGCGAGCTAAGTGGGTTCATGAGAATGCATGCATGATTGCATAAACTAATTGGGTGAAACTCGAGAGTGTGAAAGAAGAAAGAGGAGAAAAACAAAAACATAATAATAATAAGAGTAGTGCTACATGACACCGAGTGATGTCAAAAAAAAAGTCACCATAATTCTATAAGGGTAGTATTTTTTGAAGGGATATAAGGGAGGAAAACAAGTTGGGTACTTTATTTTTAGAGGAAAAAAATATATAAAGCAATATATTTCAAACCAATCCTTGTTTATTGTGTAAGGTTTGGATTCCCAATTATGCTAATGATGAAGAGAAATTTAGAAAGACAATTACTTACAAACAATATTTAATGTTAAGAAATAATTGTTGAAGACTACTCTAACACATAAAAAGTCGACTACGAAATATATCAATTTTAGCACAATGTTTCAGAGACGTTGAATTTATACCGATGGATAATCAATAATATTTAAAGCGATAAATTTAAGATAAATCCTTCATATTTTTATTGTGTAAGGTTTGAATTCTAAATTGACCAATAAATTACAAATAATACTTTCATGGTAAGACATAACGAGTCTTAGATATGCTAAGACATATTAGTTGAACTAAGAAGTATATCGTTTTTAGTACACTCTTTCAAGCACATTATATTTATACCGATGGATAACCAATAATATTTAAAGTAATAAATTTAAGATAGGTCCTTCATATTTTTATCGTGTAAGGTTTGAATTGTCAATTGAGCAATGAATTACAAACAATACTTTTATGGTAAAGCATACCAGTTGAAGAATATGCTAAGACATATAAGTTGAACTAAGAGGTATATCATTTTTAGCAAACTCTTTTAACACACTAGATTTGCATTGATGGATTTTTAAATCAATCCTTCTTGTTTATCATGTCGGGTTTGGATTTCCAATTATGGCAATGATGGAGAGGAATTTAGAAAGACAATTACTTAATAAACAATATTTAATACTAAGAAATAACCATTGAAGAATATTTTCAATCACATAACGAGTCGAGTACGAAATATATTATTTTTAGCACTCTACATTGAGTTTTTTAGCACACTATATTGAGTTTTTAGCACACCGATTTGACACCGATGGATAGATAAGAACTCATACGTTCCATTTTTGGGGATGATGACTATAGTGATTTGAATCTAGAAATCGAAACTTAAACGTGAAAATGTCAAGTCGTGAAGAAGAAGAAGAATTTCATAATGATGAAGAAAATACAGGTTGTATTAATGAGGATGAAGGGTTTAGGAATTCTAAAACTTTCAAAGCACTCGAGGCTAGGATGGAATTCGATGGAGTTGAAGATATATTCCTTTCCTACCGAAGTATGTAAGATCAATACGATTTCGTTGTTGTGAAGTCTCGTTCACAAAAGATTGATGTTGTTCATAAATTCCAAGCCATCTTGTGTTATCTCGAAAGGATTCATCCCAATGCTAAGACTATGAAGGAAATTGATTATCCGAGTAAACCGACAGAGCATCACTAGGCAAAGATGGGAAGTGAAAGATAAACTGTGTCATCAAAGATCATAACCACGAAATGGATCTAGAGATTACAAGGTTTATTAGGCGAGCACGAGTCCGTCCCTCCACACATGAAGAGAAGGTTAGAGATAAATGACATGGTAGGTGTTCGACCAAACAAGAATATCAAGTCCGTTGTGGTGCAAATTGGAGGCGCGAGAGGAGATACCTTGTCTAACTAAAGATTGTAGGAATTTTGTCGATCGATCAAGAAGGAGAAGGCTCGGAGATGAATGTGATGTTATAGCTCTTTTAAAGATGTTTTTGAAAATGAAAGAGTGTGATAGATATTTCTTCTACAAAGTTGAAAATGATGATAAAGGCAAGTTGACGAACGTTCTATGGGTAGATGCTCGAAGCTAGACTCGCGTATCGAGAATTTAGGGACGTTGTTACATTTTATACGACTTACTTGGTTAATTGATATAACATGCCATTTGTACCATTTATTAGCGTCAATCATCACTTACAATCGATACTTCTCGATTATGCTTTATTACATGATAAGGAGGCGAAGACTTTTGATTGGTTGTTTATGAATTGGTTACATTGCATGGGTGATGTTGCACCAAAAGCCATCATCACCGATCAATGTAAGAGCACCGATAAAGTTATTGCACGGTCTATGCCAAACACTAGACACATATGGTGTTTGTGGCATATTCTAATGAAGTTTTTGGAGAAATTCAAGAATCACAAGAAGAAACATGACTTAAGAGAAGCTTTTGTGGTGTTGTGTATGAAAGCTTGACAAGCTGAAGAATTTGAGAAGGGTTGGGATAAAATGGTTAAAGATTTTATGTTAGAAGGTAGCAAGTGGCTGATTGAATTGTACAAAGGGAGATAGTGATGGGTTCTAGCTTTTGTGAAAGATGTTTTCCGGGCAAGCATGTCGTCTACTCAACAGAGTGAGAGTATGAATGCTTATTTTGATGGTTATGTGCATTCTCCAACCACCATTGAAACAATTCATAAAGCAATACAAAATTGCTTTACGAGATAAGTTTAAGAAAGAAAAGCATGCTGATTTTGATACCATGAACATTACAATTGCTTTATGGACCAAATTCCCATTAGAGCTTTAATTTCGAGTGTTTACACCAACTTGATGTTTCGTGAAGTACAAGTTGAGCTACATGATATGAACTATTATGATGTAGTGTTCTTGAAAAGAAAAGGTCCCGATATCATCTATAAAGTTTCGGATAGGGTTTTTGTGAAAGATGGCACTACAAAGCTATTGGAGTATGAGGTAGCATATAACCCTTCCAATAAAGAGGTATCTTGTAATCGTAGGTACGTTTGATTTTCGAACACTAGTTAGTGTGCTAAAAAGTCAAAATCCTTCGTTTCTAAGTTAGAAAAGTCCAAAGTACTTTTTCATAATGCTAATAAGTGTGGTAAAAAGTTGATATCCTTCATTTTCGATCTGCATTATCAAATGATAGTGATTCAATTGTATTATTAAATGATAGTTTGTTAGTATACATGAATTTATTTTGTTTGATTCTTAAAGAAACGTTAAGTCTTTCGATCGGTACCAACATTGTTTTCGAATGCTAGTTAGTATGCTAAAAAATTCAAGTCCTTCCTTTTTCAAGTTATTGTAAACCAAAGTGTTGTTTTTAGAACGCTAATTAGTGTACTAAAAAGTCAAAATGCTTTGTTTTCGAATGCTAATAAGTGTCGTTGAAAAGTTGGTATCCTTCATTTTTTACTGCATTATCAAATGATAGTGATTCAATTGCATTATTAAATGAAAATTTGTTAGTATACATCAATTTATTTTGTTGGATTCTTAAAGAAACGTTAAGTCTTTCAGCCAGTACCAACATTGTTTTCGGAATGCTAGTTAGTATGCTAAAAAATCCAAGTCCATCATTTTTCATGTTATAGTAAACAAAAGTGGTGTTTTAAAAATGCTAATTAATGTGCTGAAAAGTCAAAATGCTTCGTTTTCAAGTTAGAAAAATCCATCCTTTTTGTTTTTAGAATGTTAATAAGTGTGCTTGATAAGTTGGTATCCTTCATTTTCAATTGCATTATCAAATGATAGTGATTCAATTGCATTATCAAATGATAGTTTGTTAGTATACATCAATTTTTTTTGTTGGATTCTTAAAGAAACGTTAAGTCTTTCGGTTAGTACCAACATTGTTTTCAGAATGCTAGTTAGTATGCTAAAAAATTCAAGTCCTTTGTTTTTCAAGTTACGAGTAAATAAAAGTGGTTTTTTTTAAAAAAAACGCTAATTAATGTGCTTGAAAAGTCAAAATGCTTCGTTTTCAAGTTAGAAAAATCCATCCTTTTTGTTTTCGGAATGCTACTAAGTGTGCTCGATAAGTTGGTATCCTTCATTTTTAATTGCATTATCAAATGAGAGTGATTCAATTGCATTATCAAATGATAGTTTGTTAGTATACATCAATTTGTTTTGTTGGGTTCTTAAAGAAACGTTAGCTAAAAACGTTCATTTTCAATCAATACCAACATTATCTTCACCATTAAATCATAGATATCGAATAGTTGGTAATCGAAAACATCCATTAAATCACATATATGATAACCGAAACCATCCATAATATCATAGATATAACAAAACGGCATAGTAAAATAAATTGAAGTCCATAACATATATGATAACCATCATAATAAAATAAATTAAAGTCCTTAACATAACAAAAGTAGAAATAAAAAAAATCATAATCAAAATAAAACAAAACATAAATTGAAATCATTTTCAGAATTGTCACTAATAGTGAGAATAGTAACCTTCCTTGGCCATCCTCGCGGTTTCTTCACATTCATATTGCTATCTTCTTCCTCGCGAGTCCTTCTTATAGCTCGGAGAATGAAGAGGACTCGAGGGTCCTTCTTCGTTGAGCCATATATTGTACGGACGCATCAAGGGGGACATGTCAAGCATTACGACAACCATTGATTTTTGTTCATCGAAGCAAACAGGCGTTCGACTTTTCATTCGTTATGATTGTTCCCGCTTTTAAAGAACAATGTCCGAAATGCTAGAGGGGATGAGGGCTCATCAACTCTTATGGGTTGCTTATCTATTTACATGAAATGAATCACAAAAAAAAAAAAAATACAAATCGACTTGCTGAAAAATATTAATAAAACATAAATTAAACGTTTTCTAAGAGTTTGAATATATGTAACCGGGAGTTTTGTAAGGGCTTGGGATGATTAAATGTTTTTCTCGCTATTTATCTTGCTTCTTCTGAATAATCAATTTAGGTTAAGTGTGGTAATCTTACAAAGAGTTTATAAGAGTTTAAATAGGCCAAGAAGCTGTATAACTAGAACCTCTTAGAAGATTAACTCGCATTAATTTTTTTTAAGAGTATCGAGACAGTTGAAGCATTTGTAAATAAAATAGCTTGTTTCCAAGGTGAATATGCAAAGTGTTTATTCCTTCCCTCATGCAAATCTATTAAAATTTGAAGCGTCCTTTTCTTTCTTCCCTCTAATCCAACTCGTTTGAAATTTTGTATCGTTAATGATAAGTGAAATGACTAGGTGTTTCTCTAATAATATAACATTTGAAAATTCTAGTATGCTAAAATATTAATTTTCGTGCTAAAAACTCGAGTGTTATGAGTTTGAGTGAAATTTTTATAATAAAATGACGTCGTGTTTTTGTTTTAAAATAAAGCGACGTCATGTTTTCGAAATCTAAACTATATCATAGTAGTGGTCACCTCGATCAATGGTCAATAAAATTATCATGTAATAGTAGTCAACTAAATTCGGTGATATATTAAGATATCAACTAAATTCATCTCGATGATATCATAGTAATGGTCAAATATGTCAACAATTACATGTAATAAGATATCAACAATCACATACTAAGATATCGAATAAATTCATCTCGATGATATCATAGTAATGGTAAAATATGTCAATAATAGCATAATAAGATATCAACGATCACATACTAAGATATCGACTAAATTCATCTCGATGATATCATGGCAATAGTCAAATTAGTCAATGATCACATAATAAGATATCAACGATCACATACTAAGATATCTACTAAATTCATCTCCATGATATCATAGCAATGGTCAAATTAGTCAATGATCACGTAATAAGATATTAACGATCACATACTAAGATATCTACTAAATTCATCTCCATGATATCATAGTAGTGGTCAAATTAGTCAATGATCACGTAATAAGATATGAACGATCACATAATAAGATATCGACTAAATTCATCTCCATGATATTAAGATATAGACTAAATTAATAGTAAAAAAATAAGTCAAATGGTCAATGTAGATAAATAAATGGAATTCACATATATAACATATCAAGATATTGACGATATTGCAACTTTCATATTTTATTATCATATTTTAGTGAATTAAATAAAATAAAATAAATAATTAATTGCACCATAGTTGTGCTAAGATTACTATTTCTCACAAAATATCAATTTATTTCCTTCTTAATAAATGGTCGATTCATCAAAAAATAAATGGAATCAACATTTTTTTACTATTTCTATTTTTTATTTATCTTAATGTCAACTCTCTATATTTTATAGATATACTAAGATTGAAATGTTAATGTAGTTCGGTGAATTAAACCTTATCGGTAACCAAATCAATTAAACATAGACTTTTTAAAACCATGAAGAAACTTTTTCAAGCATATCGAAAAAGGCATGAAACCAAATCAGTAGCCATTTTCTAGAATTAAATATAATTGCTTAAAGGGCCCATCACAAACAAATCATTATAGTTATCTCTTAGGAATGCAACAAAAAAGCCTTCAAATTATGTTCTTATCCTTAAAAATGGTGATTTCAACGTAGTTGTCTAAGGATGCTTTTGTAATTTAGTATGGTGCAAGACTTTTTGGAACACTAAACAAACCTTTTTCAGCATAGTGAAAAAGGCATGAAAGCAAATCAGTTCACATTTTCCAAAATTAAATATAATTCATTACGAGCCCTACCACAAACAAATCCTTACAGTTCCATATTTGAAATGCAACAAAAAAGCCATGTGTTTATGTTTTTATCCTTAAAATTCTAAATTGAACTTACTAGATAAGGGATGCTTTTGTATTTTAATATGGTGCCTTGTTAGAAGTTCAAAGGACTGGTTTAAATCCATATAGATCATGCCTTTTTGGAACACCGATCAACCTTTGTCAACACTCTAATCAATTATGCGCAATTAGAAAAATAAAAAACTTTGTGCCGTTATCTCTACCAAAAATGGTTTTATCGACCACGATTTTTCATAATAAACACATCCATCCTTTTCAAATTTTTTTTCCTTTTCACTTGTAAAACCCTCGATCATCCATGGGAGATAAACGAAAAGGCGAGTAAACCTCATCATCCTTCTAAGAAGGTGAAGGATGGAAACAATCGGGAATCTCAATACAACTACGATTTGGTCGTTCGGACCGAACAAGATAAACCATTCCTTTCGAACTTGAGAGGGAAATGTATTACAACAAAGTGATAAGCTCGAAAGGATCATTGCGAGTAAGCACATTGATTTTGATAATCTATTGGAGATTGGATTTAATATGGCAGATTATTTTGATACATCAAGTTTACTCGGACTTATTGACGTTTTCATAAAATATATACCCCGATTATGTTAGGTATTTCTATGCTAGTTTGAAATCCGAAAAGATTAAAGGGAAAATTGTTCTAACTGGAGAAATAAAAGGTGTTAGAGTGGTTATTACAAAGGCCAAAATGCATGTATTTCAACTTACTAATGGAGGGGTATATTGTTGATTTTGTTAAGAAAACCCTAAATAAAAGGAAACAAGTTTCTAATCTACCAAGTTATAATGAGAACAAATTTAGAAAATAATATTGTCATGAGCATGTCGAAGGAGTGTTGAATGACAAGTATTTGACAAAGAATAGTTTTAAACCCGAGATTAGGTTTATTCATTATGCCATTGCGAAATTATCATACCTAAGTTGGGTGGAAAAGAGTATGTTTTAAGTCATGAAAAGGTCGTAATATGGCATATTATGAATAAACGGCCTATGAACTTTACTCGCTTTGATAGTAGATTGTATAAACAAGAGGAGTGAAAGTATGAGGTCCGCAAGTTATGGAAAGAAAAAAATTGGATTGGCGTATGGTATGATTATCACTAGGTTTTTCAAAAACAATGGGTTAGATTTGGAGGGTTTAGATTGTGTGGGTTGGAATGTGGTGAACAAGACAACTATATTGTTCATGAAGTTAGCTAAGACACCTCGAGGGTGGTAGCCAAAACAATCGAAGCTATTGCTTCTACTTCCCAATAGTTTGCTACAACCTCAAGTACTCACGTTGTCGGTACTGGCATAGAAGTCTCTCAAGTACATGAAATGGAGAAGCAAATTGGAGACATTAGGGAGGAATTGAGTGCTTTAAAACAAGTTTGTTATAGATGGATTGCAAGAAAACAGAGATGCTATCGGCATCATCAAAACAATGATAGCCAATGTAATGAAAGAGATCCAAACCAATCCTTCTCTACATCACCAACAACATTCTCAGCAACATGGAATTCCAAAGCATAAGGCTTCGAGCCTCGGGATCAACAAACAACTCGGGATCAAGAGACTATGTATGAAAATCTAGAGCCTCGTCATAAAGACACTCGAAGGATACAAAAAAGCTTTTAATACTTGATCTCCATGGATTTTTGTTGAGTCTTGGGGATTTCTCAACCAAACGGAATAAAGACATGAAACTAAGAGATAAACCAAGTACTAAGAAACAAAACATTATCTTGTACATTATTCCTTGTTGTTTGTTAAGCTCCTTATCGATTTTATTTACTTGTTTCTTTTTCTTGTGTTTTCTTTTAGTCTTCAAGAGGCCCCATGTTGATGATTTCCTGGAGTTTTGCTTCGATAAATTTATAGTTGGTATTTGGATGTCGTGAAACAAGCCCTTAAATTTCAGAATGCTACTCGAGTGTGCTGAAAAAATTTATCACTCTGCGACTTTGCTACTTTGTATAATTTCAGAATGTTACTTAGTATGCTGAAACTTTATATCATTCAAATTTATTATTGTTTCTTTGCAAAAATAATACAATGACCATACTAAATGTGTTATTTAAGGACAAAATCGATCGATTCTATTTTGTGTGGGTAAGTATAAATCCATAACGAGTTTGATAAATCCATATTTTGTTACTATTATATAATTTTGGTTTGTATGATTTCTTTGATGTAGGACCAATCAAATTGCTACTCTATTGAACTTGAACATGAGGCAAACTCTATTTTTTCAAGAAATTAACCAAAGTGTGGAATTAGTTTCCATATAATGAGTCAAATACATTGTTGGTGGATGATTCACCATACAAGTCAATGCACAATCCGGTAATGTTATAACTCTTTTCTATGAAAATATTATGTATTCACCATATAATGCATTCACATCCTTATTATTCTAATTATACAATGTTCTTTTCTATAGATTCATTATGCGATATTTCCGAGCACTTACAAGCATACCAACGAGAGACGACTCGTTAGGTAATATTCTCAACATTGTTTTCGCAATATATATGTACGTAGTATTTGAAACCATATTATTAATCTGTTTCACACCTATTGTTTCAAACAAGAAGGAATGGTGACCTTCGTAAATACTTGAACAACCCGGCTAGTTCGACAATGTTAGAGACTTTGTTGCAGCAAATCCATTTGGTGCGAAACCTCCGGAAGAATCGGATCAACTTTATCGGACACTTAGAGAAAAAGAAAATAACTCATCCCTTACTCGATATTATCTCGGAAAAAAATAAGGAATGACGATCTTATATTCTAATTGTTTGGATACTTTTGTACATATTGTGTTTGCCTTCGTACTTATAATGACTTTGTGAATGATACTTAACTTATACTAGTTTAGGTACAACTTTGTAATTGGCTTGTTTATTTATAATTTCATAATGCAACTCTATGTTGACAATCATTTAAACGAATATTAGTGTGATGAAAACTTGACCTCTGTGTTAATAATCAATTAAATGGATTTCATTTCGGTGTCCGAACACTTATTAGCATTCCGAAAACGAGTAATTCGGATTTTTCGACTTGAAAAGGAAGGATTTTGACTTTTCAAGACACTAACTAGCTTTCGAAAACACCACTTTGTTTTCCGTAACTTGGAAATGAAGGATAACAACTTTTCAAGCACACTTATTAGCATTATGAAAAGATTACTTTGGATTTTTGTAACTTGAAAATGAAGGATTTTGACTTTTTAGCACATTAACTAGCGTTCGAAAAGTCCACTTTGTTTTCTATAACTTGGAAACGAAGGATATAAACTTTTTTTCACTCTTATTAGCATTCTAAAAAAAGTACTTTTGACTTTTCTAACTTGAAAACGAAGGATTTTGACTTTTCAAGCACACTAATTAGTGTTCGAAAACTCCTCTTTGTTTTCTATAACTTGGAAACGAAGGATAACAACTTTTCAACACACTTATTAGCATTCTAAAAAAAGTACTTTTGATTTTTCTAACTTGAAAACGAAGGATTTTGAATTTTCAGCACACTAACTAGCATTCCGAAAACATCATTTTGGTTTTCTATAACTTAAAAAATGAAGGATACCAACTTTTCAAGCACACTTATTAGCATTTTGAAAATAGTACTTCGGATTTTTCTTACTTTAAAACGAAGAATTTTGACTTCTCAACACACTAACTAGCGTTCGAAAACACCATATTGTGGTTTTCCGTAACTTGACAAAAACGAAGGATACCAACTTTTCAGCACACTTATTAGCATTCTAAAAACGAGTACTTTGGATTTTTCTTACGTTAAAACGAAGAATTTTGACTTTTCAAGACACTAACTAGCATTCGAAAACACCACTTTGGTTTTCTATAACTTTAAAAACGAAAGATTTAGACTTTTTAGCACACTACCTAACATTCTAAAAACACCATAAACATTAATTAGTTGTAGTACATTGATACATTATCAATTTTGACATACCGAAATCCAAATTTACAAAAGTAACAGATTATCATTATATATATATATATATAAAAACTACAAAATAACAGATTATCATCTTCATGAATACCTTATGTACACATCAATTACAAAGCAAAAAAACATCATTCATAATTGTTGGATCGACAAACCGATGGTGGCAAATTGATTTCCTCTATCCTCATATGTATTTATTTCCGAAGGCTTAGATTCGGTATTGGAAGCCACATTTTCATAAGTTTCGGAGTTCCATAAGGCATCTCAGTCGCAAATCGTGTGGATAATCACTATAAATGGATCTCAAACAAGATTTCTCGGCTTCAAAATGATTTTTGAAACCCCGATATAGAGTTCCAGGAAAACCAATCACTTGGGCTTCACAATCTTCCCATGAAAGATAAACCTCGGGAGCTCTACCCCTAAATACTACATACGCTTTATTTCTAGCCATTTTTGAAAGAAGAATGCTCTAGAGATAACAAAGGAAAAAAAAAAAAAAAAGGGAAGGGATGAACAGTTGAACGAAATGTAACGAGAAAGCCTTCTCTTGGGAATGCAAGTCCTGCTAATATACATCAATGGAAAAAAAGAGATGGGATGAGATTGGTTGAGTTGGGTGGTCAAAAAAGTAAATAATCAATGATACACTCGTTAACAAAGCCACTAATATAGATATTATAAATAAATTATCGTTAAAATTTCAAAATTCAAATTTTCCTGTTTAAAATTACAAAACTCCGGTCCGAAATTTTCGGTGAGGGTATTATGTAATTTAATTTTTTTACTTTTTAAGTTTATCCTTAAAAACTTTCTATTTTTGAAAATGGTGTCTGTCACCATGGTGTAGCCAAATATTTTTCTAATAACAAATGAGGGAGACGGAAAAGTAGGCCCCACATACGGTACAAAATTAATCAAGTTTCCATCCATGGGCTCCACCAAAAAAGATTCTCATGCTTTTGACTATCGTTTATCTAGATGCCGACTATGAGCCGTGCACACCGTACATGAGCTGATTGGGTTCAAGAAAATGCGTTCATGAGCTGATTGGGTGAGCTGATTGGATTCATGAAAATGCATTCACGAGCTGATTGGGTGAGCCGAGTGGGTTCAAGAAAATGCATGTAGGATTGCATGAACTGATTGAGTGAAACTCGAGAGTTTGGAAGAAGAAAGAGGAGAAAGACAAAAACATAATAATAATAAATAAGGGCTTGGTCTAATTATTAAAGAGGTTTACTTTATTTCTTAACTTTTCATAATCTTGAAACATTAAATTCTTATAAAGGGTACTAGAATGATATCAAGGGTTTGCTTTTAACATTATCCGGAGAAGAATATAATCTCAATTAACACATAAACTATTATGAAATATTCTTATTTTTGGAAAAAAAATGCGAAAATACAAAGTTCCAAAAAAAAAATTACTCATTAATTATAATTTCCATTATTCCCAATTAGGTTTTATAATTTCAATCCAGATTCATACAAATATTTTGATTTTAATTTTAATCAAACTTCTTTTTCTTTACAATATTAACTTATTAAACTTGGCATGCAAGGATACATGTGTGGTTTTTTGTAGATTATTTAGGTACAAAACTTGGAAAACCAATTAGGTCATTAGGCCGAAAAAACTATTGAAAAGGGGATAAAGAACTTAAAGATATAAAAAAGAAGAAAGTTGCATCATAATTTTTTTTTTTAAAAAAAAAAACATAAGTGAAAAGTATATTAAAAGTTATCATGGAGCTAGAGCGAAATGATAGGGAATCAACATGAGGAAAAGGAAAAAACTGAAAATAAAGTAAAAGAGATATCACTAATGCCATAGACACAAGAGTCTGTGCGTTTCGCAACATGTACAGTCGCATGGGCTATAGGTGCAATGGTAAGTTGGGTTATGTTTTTATTACTTAAAATACATTATCATTAAGTTATTTCTTATATGGCATTTAAATTCTTCATAATGCACTAATATGAGATAATTTGGAGCATCATAATAAATAAAAAATTAATCATAATTTGGAGCACTAAACCAGACTTGATGGCTAAAGCTAGATTAATTAGTAAATAATTCATACTAGTCTTTTTCCTAACTTGTCAGGACCCATAATTAATTAAATAGAAAAATTAATCTAGCTAGTAAACCGTACTCCTAGCTTGCAACACACGTCTACCGCCGACCATACAATGAGGCTTAAAATTAAAATCCATCTTTAGTAAATTGAGTACTTTTACTTAATTAAATTATAAATCGATTTGTTTTTATATAATAGTTTAAATTTGTAATATGTCTTTACATTTTTAAATAATATTTAAGGTTTTCTTTTTTTTTTATCAAATTTTTTTTACCATAAACAATTTTTTTGACCAAATTTTCTTGGCTGAAATTAAAACAATAAATAAAATTTAAAAAATAGAACATACATGTCATGTTATTTTAAGTATTTTTTAAATTTTTAATATTTTAGTCAAAGATATTTAGATAATTTTTTTTATATAATTGAATTGATCAAAATAACAAATTGAAGATTTAACTAAATATTGCTTAGAAACATAATAGCTGAAATCAAAAATATAAAAAATAGATTGAAAATTCAGGTTATTATATAAGAACAAATTAAATTATTTAGATTTAAATTCTTTCTCGACAAGTTGATTGGTACTAATTTTCATGTTTTACTTGTTTTATTTTTATTTATTTATTTATTATGTCACATTAGTTAATAAGACTATCGCTACGTTGCATATATGTCTCCACTTGTAAGACCCAATCGCGCTATGTGATTTGGATGGTCGCACGATTTGGGTTTCTTTCTTTCGTTTTTCTCGACAGCATCGTGGGATGTTGGCCAAGAAGCATTCACGTTGACGAAAGAAAAATCAAAGTCTTCAGAAGTGTTGCCGACAGATTAGGGTCAGTATGTAGAGACATTACGCTAACATAAAATTTCTCCCAGGGCATCTTCAAAATTTCGGCGCTTGCTTCAAACGGGGATTGGTCCAAATCCAATCATGGTCTTAAGAAAACTTGGCAAAGATAAAAAGATTGAAGCTAACAAAGTTGGACTTTATGATATCTGAAAGTTTCTCTAGATAATGTGACATTCTATAAGGTCGAGGGAAAGAAGTTGCTGCTCGAGAATTAGGGTTGAGATGGTTGGATATACTGATATATCTACAACTTAAATAGTTCTTTTTCATTTTTTTTTTTTAACAAAAGAGGTTAGAAAAAATTAAGTACATGCGAGAGAGGTTAGAAAATTTTTTTCTTGAGAGTCTTTAACCAAGTCATCAACATTAGAGAAGGAAAAAAAAATCATTGGTTAGAATTAAAATAAATAGCTTTAAGCGTTCATTTTATTTGAAAACAATATCATCACATTCGCATCTTCGTCTTTCTACAATTAATTTTATAACTAGTTAAATCCACAAAAGTCCAAATCTACATTCATATTGGTTTTTTTCTTTTAAAAAAAATTATAGAATCTATAAAGAACAATATTAATTGAAAACAACTTATATTAATTAGTTTTTTTTTTTTTTTTTTTTTTTTGGGGTGGGGGGTCTCTCTCTCTCTGGGTTAAAACTATGTTAATTAGGTTTTTCCTGACTTGAAAGATAAATGCATACTTGATTTGGTAATAAACAACTTAAACAATTGGATCATAATTAACGGAATTAGCATATATATGAAACATCAATATTTCCCTTTGTTCGATACCGCTTGCTTTGAGTTTGAAATCGGCCGACTGGGCAAAAGGATGGCACGACCAACATATTGGATAATTAAGTCATTCGAATTTATAAAGGAATTGTCACCCAAAAAAAAAGAAAAAAGAAAAAAGAAAGAAAGAAAGAAGTCATGTCACGTAGAAATCTTCCTAAATAATCTACCCTTTAGGAATATGTCTGGCTCTTTTCTATAAATATGTAAAAAAAGCTCCTACGTACGTACCGCAACATATTTTATTAGTATCTTTTTGCTTGCCCTAGCTAGGAAATGGCAAAGTTCTCGAAGATCCTCCGCAAGACTGACACTAAGAAAAGACTGTCAGTGCCTATCAAGTTTCTCGAGTATCTTCCACCCTTCGAATTGGGCAGCCATGTCGTAAAGTTTGAAGCTACAAATGAGAGAGGCGAAGCTTGGGTCTTTCAATGCTCCATCCGCAAGAGAGGAAACCCGAAGCCAGTTCTTACAAAGGGTTGGCTTGCATTCGTTAACAGCAAGAACCTAAAAATTGGTGACAAGGTCAGGTTTTTTAAATATAAGAATCGAACTACTGCAACAACCTCTTACAAAGTTCGTGCTGAAAAAGAAATCAAGCTTTTTGGTGCCAGCATTGGCTATTCACCAATATTCTAGCCCATTTCCGTAAGCTGGCAAGAAGTAGCTAGCCGGGTCCAATTTCATTAGCTTGAATTGCTCTTTGATTGGATCTCTTTCTGTATTTCTGCATTTTATTTTTCCTCATGATTTCGAGCCTGGAATCTAGACTAGCCTAGTTTCTCTTGCCTGAACTATTTTCTTCTTTAGTTTTTGGTTTTTGCTTTATCAATATGTTGACTCTATCAAGTCGTAATTTCACTCTACTAAGCCACCTCAGATACTTGAATCTACTGCACCAGAAAGGAAAGACGTCCAATTAGGTTATTAATATTTGCCTTATTATCCAATATGGAATGAATTAGAGCCATGTTTCTCGCTCAGGGAACTTAATTGTTATTAGATTTCTAAGTTTGTTGGGTTTCAAATTTCTTTAATCCCAGTTATTTCTGTTGCTTCTACTTTAATTTACTCAACTTTCAAAAGCCACACAATCTGCTAAGGTCTTTCAATTTATGTTCAACATGGGCATTTTTCCATGGTGTTTGTCCTATTCTGAATAATCTGAATGGTGCATGTCAAGATGGAATTACCGATCTCTAAGTACCACAATAATGGCAAGAAGTAGCTAGCATGGCCACTAACTCAATATGCAAGGTTAGTAATGTGGTATATGTCATTGCCCTCATGCATATGAAAGGTGTATGGCTTTGCATACTTGGCATTTTGGCTAGTCCTCTTTAAGAACAGCCTGTATTCAATGTAGGTTCATGCCCAAAGAAAGCATCGAGGAGGCTTATCGCCTGAATCCGGGAATCCTCACACATGAAGACTACAAATCATCATATTTGTTTCAAAAATTGAAGTATACTTGTGTTTCTTTTCATTTTCTGTTTTTGCCAAGTCAATAACGACGCTTGATTCATTTCTTTGTTTCACATGCGATCCCGCTATGGTCAAGGGGATGGTGGGGGCCTACAAAACAAGCCAAAGACCAAATTCACCCCAGGCCCTACCACATATAAGTACATTTAAGTAAATACCTCGAGTTCTAGACCACTTAATCATTCAGTTCGCTTAGCAAGTACGTCTCCATCGCATTTAATGATATTATAAATTTT